AAAAGTAATAAACTATTTTATTATTAGGTAATTATATTTCCAAGAATATTTGAAGATAATTTAAATATCTTAGAACAGACATTTCTAACAAATGTCTGGATTTGCCTTACAAACTTTTAGCTTCAAAATTATAGAGTTATCCATGACCACCAGTATTTACAAATTTATGAGAGAACCCCTTGATTATTGTACCTATAGCAAAAGGGGAGAATAAACTAACCAATTAGTGAATAATGAATGAATGGTGATGATGATAATGACGATGATGATGATGGCAACTAATAGTTATGGAGTACTTGCATTGTGCCAGGTATTTTCTGAGCACATCAGTATATTCATATAAATGAGATACAACACTGTTAGGTGGGTACTATTATTAATCCCATTTGATAGATGAGGAAACTGAGGCACAATGAGAATCAATAACTTGTGCACAATCACACAGCTATAAAGAAAGTGAGAAGTAGTGAATGAGAATTATGACTTACTATGAGATCAATAGTAAGTCATAATTCCCCAAATTAGTCATTCTTCTGGGGGGAAAGTATTGCTAAATTTGTATGAATTTTGTTTAAAAGCAATGAACCAAAGGATCTTAGAAAATAAAGGGGCTTGGCACAGCACAGCCTAACTCTCCACTCAGTGAAAATTATTCCACTCAACAGCTCTGGCAGGTCATCCAGGCTCAGAGTGAGTATTCCCAGCAAGAGAGTAGCTCCCTGCTTTCCACAGAAGCCCATTCAAGATGATGGAGTGCTCAATGTTGCGGAATTCCTGGAAGTACTGAGCTCAGGCTTCCATTTGTAACCTCTGACCTTTTGTTTGTTTTTCTGTTTTAAAGCTAGTATTTCTTGAACTTCTGCTGTGTTTCTTTCAGGGCAAGAAAACATTTTACGGAGTTTGCATATTTGATCACACCAGTGGATGTTACCACTCCCATTTTACAGATGGGGAATGTGGGGCTGGTAACACAAAGTGTGTGCATTAACCACACACCGTGTGTGGATTCCATGGCCAGTGTAGCACCCATTTAGTCCTACTTGTTACTTCCTTGATTCTCCAGTTTATCTGCCCTGAGAGTAATAGCTGAAATTGGAATTCAGACATTGCATCACATTGGACCCTTACCCACCTGGTTCCAAATACTATATTTTTACAATTATCACCTAAGATGACATTAACTGTTAAAGATAATTTTTATATTAGAAAACCATAGGTACTATAGATAATATTATTAGAATACAAAAATAGTAATATAAAGTATTTACTATGTCTGAGCATTCGATCTTTTTTTAGTAATGTATCTCTTGATTTATGTTCTGAGTATTTATGTTTGTAGTAGCTGCATTCACACTATATTAATTTTGGTGAGTTCTACTTTTCATTTTTAGAATTAATACTAAACATTTTATAGGTACTCATAAATTCTTTGTGAACATAATTTTAATGACTGTGATATTCAATTATTAGTAATTTTCACTTTTCCAGTGCTTTGGTACTTATCTTTATGAAACAATCCTAAAATTATTTGATGATTAGAATGTTTGTAAATACTTTATAGATTTTGTTTGTCTTTCTGACTCTGTTTTTGTCTCTATATATGTACAAACATATACACATATACATATACTCACTTTTAATTATATATATATTTAATTTGGAATGTCTCTTATCAAAAGACTATTTAATAATTTATGCTGCAATAGATGCAATTTATGGAAAATGCTTTTAAAACAACATTCTTTCAAACAATTAGCATTGCCACATCAACTCTGTTTAACAATGTTTTTATACTGTTGAACCGGGTTCTTGATTTTTCTGGTTAGCTAAACTTGCTAATATTTTTGAGAGCCAGATATTTTCCTTTCTATGCCTGTGTGTGTTTTATAAAAATCTGACTAGAATGTATTACTTTCTCTTCCTAAAATATACTATGTAGTTTTATTATTCAGTGCCTTGTTCAAATTATTCCAACTGCTGGGAAACTCTGGTATCCCTGGAAAACAATCTCATTATTCAAAGCCCTTTAAAAATTGCACTACTTCTGTGAAAACTTCTTTCATATCTCCAGGGAAATCTTGGCAGTCTATGCTTTTTGTCCTCCTGGTATAAACCATTCAGGCTTCTTCGGGTTGTGTTATAGCTGCTTATGTTTTTGTCTGCGCTAGAAGTTCCTTGAGGACTGGAGTTACAAGGACTCATGTTTCAACTATGGGCACCTAAGCCCATTTGAAAGCAAGCGTTATGGCACATAGTAGATGCTTAGAACAAATGTGTTGAACACATGCATGAAATCGTTATTGCCTTGAAGCCAGTCAGGAAACTAGTTTTCACCAGTGGAGGCTTTCATGAACATTGCCAGCAGCTCAGTAAATCTGATAGAATAATTGAAGCTTCCTGAATTACCATCATAAATTTCACCTGGAAGATTTCAACGTGTTTATCCCTAAAAGGGGTGGAGTAGAGAATAAGTCCCATGGAGAGTAGGAAGAAGAGAATTGGATTAAAGCTACTTTGTGACATGCTTTGCAGACCATGATAAGACCATGGGTTGCTATGCTCTTGATGGTTTCTAAACATCACACTTAAGTATGAAATGCTGCTACATGTCATTTCCGAGAGGCAGTGATGATACCTTCAAGGCTCAGTCAAGTTTTATGTTGCTGTAGGTAATGGGGTAATTAGAAGTCTTAGTTAAAGTAGTGGGAAAAAAGAAAAGAAAAGGAAAGAATGGGAAGCATACGTATCCACTAGGCAGCATTTTGACAGTAAAAATTATGGGTAAAATGGTTGACTTCTACATTCATGACTTGTAGAGAGCATTTTGTGGTGTTTATTCAGTTTATAGATGTGAATAGCTGCTGTGAGATTCTAAAAAGATGTAAAACTGAATGAGATGAGGAACCTAAAGTAAGTGGAAGAGAAAGATCATTATCACTGCATCAATATCTACCCTGTACTCTATTTAGCTAGCACTTGAGATTCTATCACTCAGGCATCCTTCAATAAACTAGTTATATATTCCCATTCTTTGTGTACTCATCACATCCCTGGCTGTCAGACCATTCAGGGCACAACATGCCAGGACATACACAACACAGGTGACATTAAAAGGACATGGACACCAAAGCAAACTAGCATGATAAAGAATGGTCACCTCCATGGGTGTGATTGGGGAACAGATATGAAAGGATGAGTAGAAGTTTGAATCATTCTATCATTTACATCTAGAATTTGCATCATTCACTTCTTTTGTTAGTGCAAGATGTATCATGCAGAAAATGAGAGGTTTGTGAGTTACACCTACCATATCAAGAAAAGAAGCATTTCGATATGGTAGGGGTTGCAAAAGAGATAGGCGATATAACCCTTCAATCATAGAAGTACATGAGCATCATACAGAAGATCAACAGTGTGGCAATTGCTGGGGGGAGGGGCATTAAGGGGACTAAATGGTAATAGGAAAAATACAATAAGGATTAAATCTTTTAAAATTAAAAAAATATCTTACAGGTAGGTAGCCTTTAAATTAATCAAGTGGTCTGTATTTTATAATTTATAATTTATAAGAGCAGAGTCATTGTGAATTAGTATCAAAATCTAAACAAAGAAGCAAAAATGATAAGAATAGAGCCAATTACATATCAATTTGCCTCCCTGGATCCTAAAATATGCTCCTACTGATAAACCCCAGTAGTTTCATTTTTCAAGTTCTTGGGGAAAAATACATTAATCGATACTATTTTTTTCAATTTTAAAATTGGTGGCAAAAATTTTCTATTAAAGTTTTGGTGTCTGTGATTTCTTGTCTAAATTAGAATCAAATATAAGATAATTCACAAGTTAGCCTAAAATTATATCAGATTATTTAAGTTTAATGTATTTGTATCTCATGATGTCTGCAAAGAGCATAATGACTCGTGGGGTCATGCATCTAAAGAAGCTTAAACATGACCCCACCAGTGGTGCAGTTAACCTAAAGTGATCATGTACCATTTTGTCTTGGAGAAAGGTAAAAGACTGGTATCTTGCTCTCTTATAATCCAGCTGCCAGTTATTAATGAGCTACATTGTTCTTTCTGCTATGGTTCTGAGTAAACCCGATTTTCCTTTTTGAAAGATTAACTTGTGACCTTATATTGCCCATGTGGGAGTGACCATGTTTATTGGGCAAAGCATTTCCTGCTGTGTTACAGACATTTGGTTCCATCATCCCACTTGACATTCTTGTTACCTGGGTGACCCCTCCTTTCTTCTATTTAACAAACCCCTCTGTATGCACTCTATACTCCCCTTCCCCTCTCACCCACCAAGAGGCATCCCCTCCCTCTCCATCCTGTATCATTTCGTTCACCATACAAGGGGATGGTCATCCCTAAAAAACCCAGAATTTATTTATTAAAAATTGTATATTTATTCTTACATGTTAAAACTTAAGTCACCTTCAAAGTATTGTCTATTTGATGCAAAGAGACATCAAATGTCTACCCATCAAGACATTTTTTACCACTGTTCAAAACAGTTTTTAAACTCATTGATTTTGATGCCTTTTAAGTGCTTCTGCCATTTTTTTTGTTTAACCTCTTCCACATCAACAAAACGTTTTTCTTTGAAGACTTTTTTCATCCAGGAACCCCCCAAAAAAGTTGCTCAGGGCAAGATTGGTAGAATGCCTGGGGTCATGCTGTTTTGGTCAAAAACTGCTGAACACCCAGTGTGGTGTGAGCAGGTGCGCTCATAACTCATCCATCATGAAATGGGCAAATGCACTGAAAGATCCTTCAAAAAATTCACTGAAGCTGAATGCAGCCTCTCACAGCAGTGCCAGCCAGCACACTGATACAGATGGGTTCCTAGAACACTCACCTAGTGGGGGGATTTTATACTATAAAGGGCCTGCCCTCCAGAAGATAATTCTGGGTTTTTTTGCTCTCCCCTATAGTGGATCACTCTCATTTGCAAAAAAAAAAATGGAATAGCTTTCCCTTTAAAAAGTCTTTATCGTTTCTCAGCCTTTTGGCTAAGAGCAAGTGCAGTGTCTGTTCTTATCAGTTTAATATCTGATAGATACGTCTTCTATCTGAGGATAGTACATTAAATGTATTTTTGAAGCTGGGAGATGAAATAGGAGCTTGTTCCATCCACTCCACACATCAACTGGGTATTGTAGTGCTTCTGGGTAGGGTGCACCCCCCAAAAATCTTTTAACAGTATATCTCTCTAGGGATCTAGGTATAATTTCTTATCTACTTCTATTCATAGAAAACTGTTTTTGAAAGGATTTTCTATAGTATTTTCTTCATTCCCTCATGGTCTGCCTTCTTAATCACTTATTCTGACATTGATCTTCAGTAAGGCTTTCTCCCATTCGTCCACTGAGACCAATCTCTTGAAAGTCATCAATTCTCTACATCCTAATAAGTCCAAAGGTCAATCTCTGTCCCAATTTTTTTCAACTTCTCAGAAAACTTTGACTTTCTTGGTTCCTCCTTCTCTATTGGAATGCCTCTAAATGTAGATTTATTTATGAACCTTTTTGCTTGTCTATTGCCTGTCTTTACACTGAAATATCAGAGCAAAGCACTGTATCATATTACCCTTGGTCTCTGGTGTTGGAGATTGTTGTATCCCCAATGTCTAGAACAGTACCCAGCATAAACTAGGTACTCAAATATTAGGTCATTTAGTTAATTTTTTAAGCAGTCACAGATTTGAGTAAACACAGAGTTCATAAATGACACTATGACTTTGGGCATCAGAGACTTCCTACTGCTGTTCTCTCCAGCATGAGAATAGTCTATTATTCTAAGTTGAAAACTGAGCTTTGGAATCTCTTTGTTTCCACTTGAAATGAACCCCTCTAATATGTCCACTACACTACATAGTTTACCTCAAACTCTTCAGTTGACTTAGGATAAATAAGCATACGCATAGAAGCCATTAATCTGTGTTAGTATCTCAGGAAAACACAAGGCTAAATAAATCTCAGCTGCTTTTGCAAAACTATGGCCCCAAACGGGTAAGCCCTATCTATTCAGGCTCATCCAAAAGACAACACCTCTGAGATCCATCAGCCCCTCTTCATGCTGCGATAAGTGTAGACAAGGTATAAAACGTGCAAACTATCTAATTATCAACCCCATGCCCTGCCATCCCCAGCTCATTGCAAAGGTTTCCACCCAGCTTTCAACCTAAATCATCCACCTAAGTCCAGGCTCCAGCCAAGAAGCCTATTTACAGTTCAGACTAGACAGACAGCTGAGCTAGGAGGCCTTTTCCTACTTTTACTTCTTTCCCCCTGTAGAACATAAGTAAGCTAGCACACCAGAAATCCATCAAAATAATAAGTCCCCCCAGATTCCAACCCTGCTTCCTTCCCCTGAACAACAGGAAAGAAAGCATTGGGAGACACAGTTGAAATGAAATGCTTCATTCAGGACTGTCAGGCATAACCTGGGGTAGAGCCTGGGGCATTATTTGGAATCCACAAATTTTTGTAAAGTCTTTTTGGCATTTCAACCACATGGGACTTTTTCTCTAAATAAAAATGCTGGCCTTTAGTATTAAGGCTATAAAATGGGTGTTGGAGATCAGGGGCAGTTCTTTAGTTGTTTTGTTCAGCCATAAAGAATTTGCCTAAAATACATGTTTACGGATATTTTACTAAGTATAGGATTTGTTCTAGTATTGATAAACCATCTAGGGTCAGGGGTGTCAAACTCATTTTCGCCAGGGACCACATCAGCCTCACAGTTGCCTTCAAAGGACCAAATGTAATTTCAACTCTTTAACTTTTAAGCAGTAGTTACATTTTTACACTTCTAAAATTATTTTGGCCTTTTGAAAGCAACTGCAAGGCTGATGTGGCCCCCATGAAAATGAGTTTGACACCCCCAATAGGCCATTACATGAATATTGTTGTGATATTTAAGAGGTGATTATTTTTCCCCCAAAATAAGTCAAAACAGGAAAAACTGAATCAAATAACTAGAACCTATAATCCTTTTGTTTTTAATTATATTGAATCAATGTTTATCAAAAACCTATGGATTCTTCTAAATTCCAGGTGAATTTATATGTGAATACAATAGTCTTTACCCTTAGGGCTTCCTGCTACCTGCAGTGAAAAGAGATACTACATTAAGTACAAATATATTGTTAAGCAATGTATTTATTGTGCGGCCTATAATGAGACATGTTTGTCCCAACTTCCTTCCATTTCTGGGTTGTTACCTTTGAAAAGCAAAGGTTTTCTAGGGTTGCAGCCTCCTTTAATAGTGAAAGAAATATTTTATCTTGAGGCTACCTTTTATTTTCCTAAGATGTGATTCGAGTAGACTCAGACATTTCACAAGAACTTTTTTAAACAAGAATAAAATGAAAAGAAGTTTTAATTGTGTTAACCAGAATATTCAAGCATCAGAATCGTGGTTTTGATTATACTTCATTACTGCAAGATTGTCATACATAATGCTTGTGTTTACTGAGAACGAGCCCAGTAACGAGGAGAGCACTAACTACTTTTACAGGGGTGTCCTGCACAGAGAGAAAAATAGGGACATCTGAGTGAGAGGGCTAAAACAGCACCTGGGGAGTGGCATGCATGATAAGGAAACTGGAATGTAGTACTGTGAAAAGTGGAATGTCTGTAGGTTATTCGTGCAGCCTGCGGGTTACCTGGGAAATGAGTGAGAAGCTTGGAACCAAATGGAATGAGAAGCCGTTCTGAGATGAGAATGGAGGCGAGAAAAAGCAGTGAGAGTATTCTCTCAAAAACTGTACATTGCACCTCTGTAGCCGGTGGTGTCTTTTCCACATAAATGGATCTCTCTGGCCAACCTGATTTATTTTCAAGAAGATTTTGACACTCCAAAAAGTGGGTCACTTCCTCGTCTAGGTGAAAAATACACTAGTTTTCCAATAAAAGGAAAAATGACAAAGTACTCTCTCAACTTTAGTTCCAATAGACTCTCAAAGAACTAGAAAATTTTGTGTTTTTATTCCCCTTCTATCATGTGAGTGGTGACAGATTTATGAAGTAGTCTATTTATCCAGCCCATTTTTGACAAATGTCTTAGAAGGGCTGTCTCTCTAAACCATAGACTCCAGCCGTATATCATGGGACGCTGGTTGGACCTATTGGTGGGAAATTATGGGAAATGCTCTTTTGATTACTTTAAATCAGTATTCATAGGTAGTTTATTGTGTTTGATTGTATTGCAAAACTGTAAGCCATGAAAAAAGAAATTAATTTTTTTTCTAATGCTTGAGCATTAAAAGATGCAAGAAGTCAAATTCAAAGCCTAGTCTTTTATAATTGCTGCAGTTTTAGAGATGATAAAACCCTCCATCACAGCAATGAGCAATGGAAGACTCAAAAATTAGAAGACTTGTCTATGGTGCCCAGCCACTTGGTTACTAAGCCATTATTCCTCAGTGTTCTGTTTAAGACCAGTATCTACTCCTTTCTGTTTTCCTGAGATCTAACTCTTAAAAACTGAAGACAGGCAAGATAATGAGCTAGAAAAAGGAAATTTGACTGGAAGCTTTGTTTCAATGTTTACCACTTAGATGTTTATTTTGAATTAAATAAGCTATTTATTATGGTAAATTTTTATTATAAGACTTGAAGGATTAATTACTGTCTTTGGAAAGTCTCTGTGATGCAGTCATAAGAGTGGATTCAGACTGTTCAGGATCACAACTTAACTGTCCAGCTGGGAGACATTGGTCAACTTATACTCTATCCTCTGGCTTTTTCCTTCTTAAAATGGACATGACTCAACCTACCTAATACGGTTCTTATAAAGATAAACTTGTCATATGCATATACTAACTCAGTGTCTGCTAAAGGAAAGCTGCTATATTATTACTCTTATTAATAATAAAATTAAACAATTCAAATTCCTCTTAAATTTTATATTTTACATGAAACTATATCTGACATGTAGAACCTGAGAGGAATAGCTTCACACTTGTTTACCTTTTTAATTATCCCATTAATTTTATAACATTATCATGCATAACTTGCACATTCTAATGCATAATTATAGTGTGCAATATGTAATGTGTAATGAGAATTCTTTATGCTTTCACTTTAAAAGCGAGTAACAATAGAGGTGCAAAGAGTACAATACTCCAGAGGAGTATCTCTACTCCTAACATTTATGGTGAAGTTTCAACAACTAAATTCCAGACCCATGGGAAACATGCTCCAACTTGTTTTGGTTTTTTTTTTTAAGTCAACTTATGCTTTGTGAGAATTTTGAATAGGCCCTTAAGTTGTCCCGTTGCTCCACACAACTATGAGTAAAAGTCAATGTTACTTTCTAGAATGTCCGTGCATATCTTGGACAAAAGTTGCACTGTGCTCACATTCTTCTAATTTGTCATATGGGTGTTAAAAAATGCAAGCCCAGAAGCCAAAATATTGAGAAAGCCATGATGAATTATAATGCATAAAGTTTCCTCTACCAAAAAAAAAAAAGAAAAAGAGATAATATTGTTACAGAAAATCCACAATCTATACACAAGTTTCAAGTAAGTCTCCCAACTCTTCTACAAACTGTCCTTGAATTTTACTTTTTATTTTAAAAAAATATTTGAATAATAAAATGTGTTGGTGGAGCCCTGTTTTCTTTTTCTGGTTTATACTCAAACCATTTTACTGAAGATACTATTTTAAGCAACCATTTCAAAAATGTTACCACAAGTTTATAGATGATTTGTATTCAGTTGTACAAACAATACAATAGCAAACACTATTTTTCCCATTCAGTTTGGCATGGACCATCTGTTTTTCAGCCAGAAGGACTCCAATGCCATTTATCATGTGAGAATGGTGTCAGGAAGTTGTTTTAAGAGGAGTAAGTGCAAGAAGATAGGGTTAGGTATTTGCATGCTTACACTGGGGAAAATTGGTTTACTCTTCTCCCAATGAGAAATTTTACCTTTTTAAAAAAAGTTTTTAAAGATTTTATTTATTTATCTTTAGGGGGGAAGGGAAAGAAAGAGGGAGAGAAATATCAATGCATGGTTGCCTCTTATGCATCCCCTGCCAGAAACTGGCCTGCAACCCAGGCATGTTCCCTGACTAGGAATCGAACTGCAATCCTTTGGTTTGCAGGCCCATGCTCAATCTGCTGAGCTACACCAGCCAGGGCTGATTCTTATATTTAACCACTACAAGTGATTT